AGAGAGAGAGAGAGAGAGAGAGAGAGAGAGAGAGAGAGAGAGAGAAATATTCATATATTTGGTTCGTGAAGAAACATAGTACAACTATAGATTTCCACTTTAATCGTCTCTGCACAGAATTAATTTAATATATAATAAATTTAATATATAATAAATTTTAATTCCAGCCAATTTAACCGAGGGACATTTTTTTCCATAAGATCTATGGGATTCTTTGTTATTGTAATCGATTTGTGTTATTGCAGCAAAACTTGATTTGTTAGGATGCGCTTTCTATTCTGCTATCTATTCTCAAATGATCGTCCTCTTCTTTCTGAAGAGTCTTCTGTTATTATAATATATGCTGCATCCATAAACGTGTTGTCGCGAGTCTCTCAATATCTTACCGCATTTATTTTTATTTGTTCTATTATTCACGTTACATACTTTTGTTCCTTTATTCAACATCAACGTGTATTCATAATGATACGAAATCTGCTGGACAGTTGGGGAATGCCTGAAGAAATTATTTCAAAATTAACTCTTACCGTACAAGGTCGGGTCACTATGTATAATGACCGAGCGATTCCTGTTTGTGTAAGTTTCTTTGAGTCTTTCGGTAATTATAAATTAAATTACATTTTATTATTTTCCAAAATGAAGTTTCAATATTTATTCTAGAAAATTCAAAGTATGTTAAATTTTGATGAATTTTTAAAGACTTTTTAACCATTCTAAATAGGTGAAAAAAACGGATGGATTCTAGTGACCCAGTTTCTGCGGATATATGAGGCACCAAATTGTACCTTTGTATTAATTTTGAAATAATTTCTGCAGATATTCTCCAATTGTCCAGCACACACACAGATTTCGTACATTCTTTTTGCAAAATTATTTCGTTCATACAATCAAAATATGTCCTTAATTTAGTAAACATATCTTGCTACAATAGCAAATTTGATTCGCTTGTATAATTCAAATAAATTGTTTGTAGAAATCATCTTCCTAGTTCTTCAAATGTGCTTTGCTTTTGTAGTAAATTGTATACAATAAAAAAGATTAGTTGATTAAATAAAAGTTCATTTATTCTTACAGCAAAATAATTTGTAGTTTTAGCTAAATTATATCCAGCAAATAGCAATCAGTACTTTTAACAAATCTCTTTACTCTCCATATAATAATTGATAGATTTAGACAGTAGCATAAAATCTGCTATACCAGCAAATTATTTTTCTCCATGATGTGTGTTATTTGAGATTTTTAAACTTATCATTTTTTAGCTGTACGACTATTGTTTATTTTTCACATTTTCTGTTCTGGTTTATAATTAAAATGAAAAATATGTTTTTATTATTGAAAAGTTATTTTGTTTATTATTGTAAAATCGTAAGGAAAATATCGTAAGGAAAACTTGTATTTGTTTCAGTTATCACGAACTTGGTATCTATGATCTTCCCGCAATGATCGATTACATTTTGCACACTACAGGATACGAGAAGATCTATTATGTCGGACATTCGGAAGGTACTACGCAGTTCTGGGTGATGGCGTCAGAAAAATCCGAATACAATTCGAAGATTACTCTGATGATCGGTCTAGCACCTGCAGCTTTCATTGGCAACATTCGCGGACCTGTCCGGAAACTCGCCAAGTTGACGTATTTCGGCGTGGTAAGAGAATTGTTGTTGAGACATTCGAGGTCGACTTCATTTCTCCTTTCATTTCTCTTACAGTGGGTCGGCGAAACTTTTGGCTATCCGGAATTCCGTTCACGGTCCGATTGGGCAAAATTCGTATCGAACCTATTTTGCCAGAAAGCGGCGTCCACGCAATTCATTTGTAGCAATATCCTGTTTCTAGTCGCGGGATTCAGTCGTGCGGAATTAAATACAGTAAGATTAAACGCATTTATCGATTTTCATTTCCTATATTGCTTTTTTTACTCGCTTATTGATCGAATTTTCTTTCGTTGTGATAGGACTATCTGACGGTCATCATAGGTCATGTGCCCGCAGGAGCTTCCTGGAAACAACTCGTGCATTACGGTCAAGGATATGTTAATACAGGTAACATATGCTTTTTAGGCATTATTTTTCACAGGTATTATTATTTTCAAAGATACCAGAACGTTTGCGGGTTACTGCTATGTTTTTATCCATTGCTAATTAGCTGGTATTTTCGAAGGTAACATTATAATAATTATACAAAAAAGATAAATATGTTGAGCGTTATATATTATAATGCCGAGGAATCTGAGGAAACATTTCAAAATGCTTCAGGACACTTTAGACAATACGATTACGGTAACATCGACAAAAATCTTCAATTATATAATTCAACGACGCCGCCGGATTACCAATTGGAAAAGATCACTGCGCCAATTGCTCTTTTTAGTAGCGATGATGATTGGTTAGCAACTACGAAGGTACATCTCGTGCAACTAAAAAATGTTCCTTTTATAAAAAGATGAATTTGCTTGAATTAAGTTTTTTAGAAACTTACCTTAAATATGTTAAATATTAATTTTTCTTCCTTTTTATAATTTATATAATCAAAATTCGTTAACATCAATCATTATTCGTTAACGTGATATAAATTTCATTCAAGGATGTGGCTCTCTTGACTGCGAAACTCAACAGCCTCGTGTTTCATTATAAAACTCCTATTAACACCACCTGTAATCATTACGACTTTATATGGGGAAAGTCCTCTGTGCAAATGGTGTCACGGCCTATTTTGCAATTGTTGGCTCAATATCAATAGCGATATTTTTTCTGGGCTAAAAAAAGGATATCCTTTTCCAACAGAAAGTTACGAGTGTATATAATGAATCGGTCTAATTTATTGTTGTATATTATTAGTATCATCATCATATAATACGTTGCGTTTATATATATAGTCCGTACTTGTTAAATTTCACTTCCGTTACGTCAGATTGCATAGCGCTGCATCAAATTCACTGCATCATTAACGTAAAACGTAACTTCGCTTATATATCTTCTCTCGATTATAATGTCGCTCTATGTACATTTATACAAACTCCATCGTAATCAATCTGCGATCACTGCGTAAGAAACTACATTCGCGATTACAATTCATCGCGATCGCATCCGGCCGCCGATATAATTACAAACTTACACTCCTTCTTTAATCGCACTTGAGCATCGCCCGGAGAAGATACCTTCTCCACTTCGAAAAATGTCCTTTCAAAGCGCAGCATGTTCTGGAATAAACAGACACCGAAAAGAATTTCGCTTCTCGCGGCTGATGCTTTTAAGCGATCGATCCTGATTTATCCCAATATACACTGTAATTAGAGTACATTATATGTAACCTACACTAACTTATACTTTAATCGTTTAGCATAACTTTTTAATGTTACCCATGCGGGAATATGAATGAGCCAGTTCGCGAGTGTCAGGGTCAAATACGAGATGGATAATTTTGAATGACTAGGAATCGCCTTGATACATCATGCGGAGAAATTTAAATAAAACTTAAAGTTCATTTTAATTGGAATTAATTCAATCTGTCTCTTATTTTAATTCCATGGCATGTGGATCGGAATGAAAAATGAATCGGTCACACAAATTGAAAATTGCTCGCAGAACTGGCCTTACAACGTAGGTATAATAATGTACATAGTTGTATGTCGCATGATATGTATTAGTTTACGTTAGAATAGGTCGGATGGATAGATCGGGAAGCTTCCCGCGTGATTCGTATGAAAATTTATGAATCGTCTCCGATCGCAGCGAAGACCTCATTTATCACGGCTGCGAATAAACAGGACTTCATCGTATCGATGCACGCACATCGTTACGCCTGCATGATTGTATGCCGATGAAAAATTGCGCATAAATTATAATCGATACTTGAGCTCATGTATTGGCCACTTCGAGGTTTACCTAAAACGATATCTATCTTTCACAATAAAAACACACCTGATTACAATTTAATTTCTATAAAATTCGATAGCACATAAATCTCCAATAACGTTACAATTACCATAATATCGATTTGACAATATAATTCCTCTGAGGGAATTCCTCGCCCCAAGCGTTACAACAATTATAATTTGACATTTTTATATTAATGAGATAATCTGACGATATAAAAGAATTTGCAAACGTCAAGGATACATCAATACAGTTACAATATAATTTAACTAATTTAACTAATATGCATCTCTTTCCCACCACCACGCGAAACTAATATATCCTTAATTAAAAAGAAAGATGTAGATTATATTCGTACGAAGCAGAAAGAAAAAAGCTTTCGAAATCTTTTTATTGGATTTACGTTGCTTTTATTTTCTATTTTCTATCTTGCTAGCAAATTCTTTTTATCAGATATCGTGTTTTCAGAATAAAATTAAAATATTGAATCATTGATATATAATAAGCAAAAGTCAAAAGATATTGTTTTAAAAAAATAGGATGGAATAAAGTATTTTCATAAAAAATTATACTTCTCTTTGCGCATACGAGAAACAAGTGAAGCAAAAATCGCGTTCGTGGTGGAGCGAGAGGTAACTGATTAATTCCTTTGCACGTAAGGATTGTTTTATTCGTAACACTTTAAAGGAACAGAATCACATATCTTCTTCATGAAGATATTATTAATCACGGCTACAGTCAGTAGGATGGGTACCCTGTCATGTGTTCGCATGATGCACACAGGAGGATGCACTCGAGAGAAGCAATTTAATTCCCGTTTGGAAAACACAAGTCAAGCTTTATAAAAATACTATCAACAGCAATATATATGTATAATAACGTACAATTTTTAAATATACTCAATTATATATTCAGTAATAATTATGAGGCCATTGTTAATACGTCGATAACATACGCGCGGCACTTTGTCATCATAGACAAGGGAAGGCACGCGTATAAATATCGATTCTCGTTAATTCTGCGAAACGAGACATATTTAATTAATATCCACTCTCCTTAGATCCTTCTTCTGGCCTGCTTATGAGGATGCACCTCATTAATTTATATTCTCATTTAGATTGTGTAACAAATCCTAAAGTATATAAGCGTCCCTTCTGCTTTTTGATATCTTGTACTCTATAACAATTAAATGCAACCACTGTTCAATTTTATCTATAAATATTATATATATGTATATATAAT